AGCGGTGAAGTGCTGTAATAGTAATAATGACCTCAGCTTAAGTCACTGACTGACTGGCCTCAAGTCAGGACAATAATCCAATTTGTCACTGATTCTTGGGCAATCCCTTGGCCTTATTTAAAGGCAACACACTAGAAGCCTATTAGAAGTAGAGAAAATATCTAACCATCCCCATAATCTCTCCCTCCCTATCCCCAAAGATAAAAGCGACAGATGATTCCCACTGCCAAGCAATAAATTATTTCAGCCAGGAGATGTTAAGATGCACTGCTACTAAGGAACAAAGAAAGTCGTCACAAAGATGAAACAGGGAATGGAACAAATCAAGGTTAAAAAAAAATCTAAAAACATGAAATAGTTCAAAGACTGTTTTGTATCCAAGAGCAAACATGGCCTCTGAAAGGGTACTACAAGGCACTGCAGTTCTAAAACATGTGTATGCAAATTAAAGCCAGAAATTCACAAGACAGCACTTAAAACTTGGAACTCCACAGGCTTGAAGCACTTCTGCCAAGGCCAGGCCACATGCAGATTTTAGAATTTGGGTTTCTTAAGATGCATCTAAAAGTTTTGCATGACCTATTTAATTTTCGAAGCAAGAAATATTCTAAGTGAGGTTTTTTTTGTTTGCTTGTTTTTAAAAAAATGAAAACAAATAACCACAACATTTGGTTACATGTTTTGTACAGAGTGCTCTGACCAAGCCAATAGCTGTGGGATAGGTTTGAAAAACCACAAAATAGAAAGTTTCTTCAACTTTTTGTTCTGAACTCTACAATGCATACAGAGCCTGGAGGACCAATTCAAACCCATCACGAATTCAAGCACCGCCTTGTCTTAACTATGGCAATGATTATCAGCTAAAGTCCAAGTGCAGCTCCGGCCTAGCCAACTAATCCACAAATAAAGATCACACTGGCCAACTTGATGGCTCATCCACTTTAACTCAGCAGCTCTGAAGAGAATTAGCTGTGCTGACTTATAATCAAGAAGTTTTGTAATCCCCAAGTTAACAGGGGAGGGCTGCTGGCAAGTCAGAACTACGACAGCAAAAGTTTGCTGAGGACCTGAACTGTCCTAGCACTCAGCATTTGTTTCAAAGCTACCCCAGCATCCCCTATACCTACTAATGTAAACCTACACGCTCAAGGAACCAATGGAATACTATGGGGGTGCAGAAATCCATGCAGGAATGGCGTATGAACTGGGATATAGCCTTCTCTTAATGACAGCAGCTTTGGTTTAAATCAAACGGACACGAAAGAATCCCACCTGAAAGTGTGCTATGGGATTCCTGGTTCCAAAGTATTCTTGTGCCCGCTGCACACCTCCAGCAGTGGTGATACAGCAGAGGGTCAGCAATTGCCACACAGGCGCTACACTTGTACTGAAATTCCACTTCCCCCCCATTGACAACGCACTGCTCTATCAAAGCACAGGCTTATGATGTGCGGAACGCATTTGAAATTATGCTCTTACCCTTGAGAAGTCAAAGTGTGGTTCGTACTGTCCTCCCAAACCGTAATTAGCAACCTAAGGGGTGAGGGAAAATGCACATCCAATTAGATTTGATTGCAAGGAAAACATTTGTTCTGCTTAACTAAGGCAAAAGACAGAACCAAGGCCATATGTGAAATGGAGCTGGTAATTTATTTACTTATTTTGATGCATCTACACACGTGTAAGGTAAGAAAAAGAAAACATCCTGCCCTGCCCAGGGTCTAGTCCTTCCTCCAGCTGGTAGGTCCCCAGGACAGCAAATCCTCTGCCCTCTTGTCCTACTGCATAGCCATATTCCCCACTTCTGTGAACACCATAAGCATGGAGCACACTGCCCATTGCACTGTTTGGCAGCAAAGACTGGATAAGTGCCTGCATGAGCTTCTGGCCCTCCCTTCCCATGGGAACATCCAGTTCTGCTGCATTTAGGGTTTCCATGGCTAAGCAGCATGGAATACTGTCCTAGCTGTGTCCACATCTGAGGCCAAAACTGGATTCTCCGATTGGTGTGGAAGGCGGATACACTTGGATGTTGACCCTGGAAAGAAGTGGTCAGGGGAGATGCGTAGGGGGTGCACACAGGTGCACGTGCACCCCCTAAGCATGGCAGCGCACCCCCTACAAAAAGTCGACAAGGGCAGTGCACCCCCTACCTGCAGGCAGTCACCGCTTGCCACCCTGTCACTGGCACCACCTGCGGGTGGTCCCCAATCCCTGCTGGCCACTGCAGGTGGTGTCTGCAAGTAGTCACCAACCCTTGGTTGGCACTCGCCCCCCCCACCACTGACAGCCCCAGCTGCCAGGGGCACAAGTCATTCATGGAAATGGTGATACAAACCTGCAATAGTTCAGCTGTTTTCACCGTCAGCCCTGTGATATGCTGCATTCGGCGATTCACTTTAGCAATGATGGGATCATCATACTCCTCCAACCACGAGCTATGGAGGTGGGGGAGGAAGGGAAGAAAAAGAACACCGAAAGAAAATCTAAATCACACTGAAATGCGAAGACTCAAAAACTATCCATTTGCTATCAGGTACGCCAAGTCTATCCCAGACACTTTGCTGATTTTTAACAAGCTTTCTGACCTGCAAAAGTTTCCAGTTTCATCTAACAGACAACAGAAATAGGTGGGAAAAGCTTTGGTTTTGGTGCACATACAGTATCACTGCTACCGAAGGGAAGGAGGGAGCAGCAGCAAAAGGTACTGGTTCCTTCTATGAAGGAGAAGGCAAAAAAAGCCTTCAGTTAGTCTTTGATGCAGATATTGCCACATGTTCAAGCTAGGACTCTCATGTTTTCTGTTTCACATCCAACTTAAGATAACTTAGGCCTCATTGGCAGGTATCTGCAGATTGCAAAGGAGGCTGCAGGTTCTCAATATCTTAGTGTCATTTCAAGATGGGCAACCAATAACTGAGGTCTCAAAAAGAATGCAAATAAGGTAGTTTTTGAAGGACACTGAAACTTGGTTTAAGGGGGTGATGAAATAAAATATGGGAAGAAAACAGCAGCTGTAGCTTCTGGAAAGTTACACCAACGCCAGCTTGTGGCTTAACAGTACCAATAGCAATGGCATTCCTTTCTATGTTATCTTGGGGGAGGAGAAAAAAAACCACCCTGAGCAATGTGGAACTTTAGGTGCACAGTCATTTTAAGACCTCTGAGACAGTGCACTCAGATAAACACACGGCCAAGTGTGGAGTTAGTCATGGGAAAACCAGCAACAGCTTCTAACTCATTCTGAATAGTGACCTGCCTGGTTTCATAGTTGGTCGGGTCGGAAGGGACCTGAGTAGATCATCTAGTCCTACCCCTGCCATGGCAGAAAAAAAGTACTGAGGTCAAACGATCCCAGCAAAGTTTTTGGCTAGCCTCCGCTTAAAGACCCCCAGGGTAGGAGCCAGCACCACTTCTCTTGGAAGTTGGTTCCAGATCCTAGCCGCCCTGACCGTGAAGTAGCGCCTCCTGATACCTAGCCTGAATCTACCTTCTGCCAGCTTGTGACCGTTACTTCTAGTCACTCTTGGTAGTGCTTGGGGGAAGAGGGACTCCCCAATGCCTGCTGGTCCCCCCTGACTAGTTTGTAACAGGTCACTAGATCCCCCCTCAGCCTTCTCTTGTGGAGGCTGAACAGGTTCAGGTCCTGTAGCTTCTCCTCGTAGGGCCTGCCCTGCTGCCCCCTGATCATGCGAGTGGCC